TACAATACTTGGGGGAATCATGAAGGGTCAGTTTTATACCTATACAATACGTGGGTGAATCATGAAGGGTCAGTTTTATACCTATACAATACTTGGAGGAATCATGAAGGGTCAGTTTTATATCTATACAATACTTGGGAGAATCATGAAGGGTCAGCTAAATATCTATACAATACGTGGGGGATTCATGAAGGGTCAGTTTTATATCTATACAATACTTGGAGGAATCATAAAGGGTCAGTTAAATATCTATACAATACTTGGGAGAATCATGAAGGGTCAGCTAAATATCTATACAATACGTGGGGGATTCATGAAGGGTCAGTTTTATATCTATACAATACTTGGAGGAATCATAAAGGGTCAGTTAAATATCTATACAATACTTGGGAGAATCATTAAGGGTCAGTTTTATATCTATACAATACTTGGGGGAATCATGAAGGGTCAGTTTTATATCTATACAATACTTGGAGGAATCATAAAGGGTCAGTTAAATATCTATACAATACTTGGGAGAATCATGAAGGGTCAGCTAAATATCTATACAATACGTGGGGGATTCATGAAGGGTCAGCTAAATATCTATACAATACTTGGGGGAATCATGAAGGGTCAGTTTTATACCTATACAATACGTGGGTGAATCATGAAGGGTCAGTTTTATACCTATACAATACTTGGAGGAATCATGAAGGGTCAGTTTTATATCTATACAATACTTGGGAGAATCATGAAGGGTCGGCTAAATATCTATACAATACGTGGGGGATTCATGAAGGGTCAGTTTTATATCTATACAATACTTGGAGGAATCATAAAGGGTCAGTTAAATATCTATACAATACTTGGGAGAATCATGAAGGGTCAGTTTTATATCTATACAATACTTGGGGGAATCATGAAGGGTCAGTTTTATATCTATACAATACTTGGAGGAATCACGAAGGGTGAGTTTTATATCTGTACAATACTTGGAGGAATCATGAAGGGTCAGTTTTATATCCTAACAATACATAAAGGATTCATGAAGGGTCAGTTTAATATCTATACAATACTTGAAGGAATCACGAAGGGTCAGTTTTATATCTATACAATACTTGGAGGAATCACGAAGAGTCAGTTTTATATCTATACAATACTTGGGGGAATCATGAAGGGTCAGCTAAATATCTATACAATACTTGGGGGAATCATTAAGGGTCAGTTTTATATCTTTACAATATGGGGCGGTCGGGTAGCCTAGTGGTTAAAGCGTTCGCTCGTCACGCATAGACCCGGGTTCGATTCCCGACATGGGTACAATGTGTGAAGCCCATTTCTGGTGTCCCCCGCCGTGATATTGCTGGAATATTGCTAAAAGCGGCGTGAAACCATACTCACTCACTCACTCTTTACAATACTTGGGGGAATCAAGAAGGGTCCGTTTTATATCCATACAATACTTGGAGGAATGATGAACCATACTTATCACAGTCCCATAGAAGACATTCTAGCATAGCTGAGGTAATAATAATACACCCTTAAATTTTATTTTCTGTTCAAAACATGGACATGACTTTGATCATTATCTTGATCCAAACTTATGCATTACCAACACTGTCAGGATTCCTGTCAGCTAGGTCTTGCGGCTTGATCAAAGCCTCTCAACAGACCATAAACGGATATGCTTGATCAAAGCCTCTACACAGACCATACATGGATATGCTTGATCAAAGCCTCTCAACAGACCATAAACGGATATGCTTGATCAAAGCCTCTACACAGACCATACATGGATATGCTTGATCAAAGCCTCTCAACAGACCATAAACGGATATGCTTGAACAAAGCCTCTACACAGACCATACAAGGATATGCTTGATCAAAGCCTCTCAACAGACCATACATGGATATGCTTGATCAAAGCCTCTCAACAGACCATACAGGGATATGCTTGATCAAAGCCTCTCAACAGACCATACACGGGTATGCTTGATCAAAGCCTCTCCATAGACCATATATGGATATACTTGATCAAAGCATCTCCATAGACCATACATGGATATGCTTGATCAAAACCTCTCAACAGACCATACACGGAAACAAAATACAGAATGTTCTGTTGCAGGAGAGTGAACACAGAAAGTTTTGTTGCAGGAGACAGAACAGGGAAGTTCCTTTGCAGGAGACAGAAGACGGAACGTTCCGTTGCAGGAGACAGAACATAGAATGTTTCATTGCAGGAGACAGAACACAGACTGTTCTGTTGCAGGAGACAGAACACGAAATGTTTCATTGCAGGAGACAGAACACAGAATGTTCCGTTGCAGGAGACAAAACACAGAATGTTCCGTTGCAGGAGACAGAACACGAAATGTTTCATTGCAGGAGACAGAACACGAAATGTTTCATTGCAAGAGACAGAACACGAAATGTTTCATTGCAGGAGACAGAACACGAAATGTTTCATTGCAGGAGACAGAACACGGAACGTTCCGTTGCAGGAGACAGAACACAGAACGTTTCATTGCAGGAGACAGAACACAGAATGTTCTGTTTCAGGAAACAGAATACTAAATGTTCTTTTGCAGGAGACAAAACATGGAATGTTCTGTTGCAGGGAATAGAATACGGGATGTTCCATTGCAGGAAACAGAACACAGAATGTTCCGTTGCAGGGAATAGAATACGGGATGTTCCATTGCAGGAAACAGAACACGGAATGTTCCGTTGCAGGGAATAGAATACGGAATGTTCCATTGCAGGAGACAGAACAGGGAATGTTCTGTTGCAGGAGACAGAACATAGAATGTTTCATTGCAGGAGACAGAACACAGAATGTTCCGTTGCAGGAGAAAGAACACGAAATGTTTCATTGCAGGAGACAGAACACGGAACGTTCCGTTGCAGGAGACAGAACACGGAATGTTTCATTGCAGGAGACAGAACACAGAATGTTCTGTTGCAGGAAACAGAATACTGAATGTTCTTTTGCAGGAGACAAAACATGGAATGTTCCGTTGCAGGAAACAGAACACGGAATGTTCCGTTGCAGGGAATAGAATTACGGGATGTTCCGTTGCAGGAGACAGAACACAGAACGTTTCGTTGCAGGAAACAGAATACAGAATGTCCCGTTGCAGGAGACAGAACATGGAATGTTCCGTTGCAGGAGACGGAACACGGAAAGTTCCGTTGCAGGAGACAGAACACGGAAAGTTCCGTTGCAGGAAACAGAACACTGCAGGTTAAAGTACAGGCGGCAGAACACTGAATGTTAAAATGCCAGAAATAGGTCTGGGAATGTTAATTTCAGGGAACAATCTGATATCTTACCATGAAGATGCCATGAACTGATTCGATCACTTAAAGCTAAACTATTATCACCAGATCTAATAGATTTGCACGAAGATACTGCATATGGATATGTTTGCTATCACACAATTCTGACACTGCCTCATTTGAGAGTCTCCCTGTCTGTGCTTTAGTTCCAGGTGTTCTGTACAGATAGACACACCCGACGGCACTGGGCAATGTAGAGCCAGTGATATATCTGGCTGCGTAAATGCCACCTACATCATAAACATGAAACATGGCAGGCCCCTAGCAAGATGTTGGCGCGACTGGAGATTAACCGGCTCTACCCACAGTGATGGTCATCACTGTCCAGCCACCTGCAAACCGGACCAATGATCAAACAGACAATGTATTCTGCTCCACAGCACAGACACAGACGCCACAGGACGCTCCAGGAATTACAGCCGATACATTAACTGTGATGGTGGTTTCAAATCAAGGAGGAATGCATGCTGTCTTTGCATACTCAAGGTGGTCACAGACAATTTTTACATTGCACAAAAACTGAAAATACTTTCAACCATTATTCAATATTCCATAAGGCAAAAGTAGAATCTTTGTCAACATTATTTCTGTATAGCTTCATGACAGATTTGTAGATCCTATTCTCAAAATTCATTTCTTATTCACTAACATACCGAAATAGGAGGACAAATGCCTTCAAGATATGCAGTATTCTTCTAATTTCTCTATAATTTCAATGAGTTGTATTAAAACTGAAAGATGCTGCTATACAAGAGGAAAGGCACCTGTGAAAGTACAATTTGAAACCAGTCAGAAGATAAATAAAGGTTCAATTAATCTGTCCCAGGCCTCTGCATCCATTACAAATCCCGAGCACTGAGATCACCAGCTGACAATGCTAAGTACCTGAGAAGATGAACTGACAAGTCCTCACCATTAGATACACATCACGCTTTATACACACAACACTAATTGGATCACATTGCTTTTAGAAATGCTTCTAAGATTTCTGAGATATACATCCTCCTTACCGTAAAAGTGCTGATAATATTCTCGTCTAAGTGAGTCAGTTCAGTGCTGCAGCTTGTGCTGATCAGTAGCTGGAGACCAGGACCCACTGGTACAAAGCAATCTTAGCACTAAGACTTTAAAGTATGGGAGTTGCTATGGTCTTAGCACTAAGACTGTTAAAGTATGGGAGTTGCTATGATCTTAGCACTAAGACTTTAAAGTATGGGAGTTGCTATGGTCTTAGCACTAAGACTGTTAAAGTATGGGAGTTGCTATGGTCTTAGCACTAAGACTTTAAAGTATGGGAGTTGCTATGGTCTTAGCACTAAGACTTGAAAGTATGGGAGTTGCTATGGTTCTAGTGCGAAGACTGTTAAAGTATGGGAGCTGCCATGGTTTTAGTGCGAAGATTGCTTTGTGTCACAGGCATCAATCAACAAAGTTATCTAAGCGCTATGACTGTCATCAGTATGTTAAAAGTCAAGATATTACAATCAACATAGCGCTAAAATTGCTTAGTATAACAATGCATGTATGCATTGTGTATGTGGGAGTATTTGTATGCACAAGTGTGTTGGCTGTGTGCATGTTGGACTATGTGCATGTATGCATTGTGTTGTGTGTAGGTGGGAGTACATTAGTATGTACCGGACGTCACAAAGTACTACACTGTACATAACACTCACGGCTGTGACACTTCCACATAAGCATAGCGGGTTTTCACCACATTGGATCTCTTGAGATCTGCATCTTCATCTGAAATAGAAATACAATATTTTAATCATTTCATTCAGACAGAAAGGAAACAGAATAAACAGACAATTTTAGTTTCCAATTAGTAAAACTACTGGTATCATTGACATCAGACCTCATGCATGCATGTAACTGCAAAAACTGGAAATGGAATGTAACTGGGACAGTCGATTTACCAAACAGCTCATCATTAGGGATGTAGCAACATATAGCTGTCACTGACAACTGTAACACATTTTGTCGGACTTGATTCTGCTGAAACATTTGTCATGGAATTACTAATTTACTGAAAGCCATGTCTCAACAAGTCTCCAGTCTCAGCAGGGTTCAGAAAGGGGAGACATGCTGAACCCTGTTATCTCACTCCATCTTATTACCAGCTGACCTAGCCCTCAGACAACAGAAAACAAATATACCACATCCTGCACACTTTGTACACAGCTGACCTAGCTCTCAGACAACAGAAAACAAATATACCACATCCTGCACACTTTGTACACAGCTGACCTAGCCCTCAGACAACAGAAAACAAATATACCACATCCTGCACACTTTGTACACAGCTGACCTAGCTCTCAGACAACAGAAAACAAGTATACCACATCCTGCACACTTTGTACACAGCTGACCTAGCTCTCAGACAACAGAAAACAAATATACCACATCCTGCACACTTTGTACACAGCTGACCTAGCTCTCAGACAACAGAAAACAAGTATACCACATCCTGCACACTTTGTACACAGCTGACCTAGCCCTCAGACAACAGAAAACAAATATACCACATCCTGCACACTTTGTACACAGCTGACCTAGCCCTCAGACAACAGAAAACAAGTATACCACATCCTGCACACTTTGTACACAGCTGACCTAGCTCTCAGACAACAGAAAACAAGTATACCACATCCTGCACACTTTGTACACAGCTGACCTAGCCCTCAGACAACAGAAAACAAGTATACCACATCCTGCACACTTTGTACACAGCTGACCTAGCTCTCAGACAACAGAAAACAAATATACCACATCCTGCACACTTTGTACACAGCTGACCTAGCTCTCAGACAACAGAAAACAAGTATACCACATCCTGCACACTTTGTACACAGCTGACCTAGCCCTCAGACAACAGAAAACAAATATACCACATCATGCACACTTTGTACACAGCAATTACATAATAACAAATATAAACAGAAGTATTTGTCACATCTACATTTATGCATCTATATCCAACTGAATAAAATTATGCAAAATTATGATTCTAACTTGTGTTACCTTGAGTTACACTTCAGGGTTGTTTTACTCTTGGTACTACCAGTATACATTGAGTTAGAGAGAACCTGGGACCAGTTCCACACACTTGGGTTAAAACAGTGCTACATAGAGTAGGAGTTGGTGATGGGAGGACTCAGGGAGTTAGGGATCATATGTATGTATCTGGATACAGGCATTAATAACACTACTTAAGTTATAGTAATACATCTGTAATGATCAAACATATTCTTAGAAAGTACAGAATTACAGCAACACTCCGTTCATGTGCTAAGCTATCCTGTCTGTCTGCAATACTGATACATACATCCAGCTGGTGTGTATTTCAAAACACCACAATACAATATTGATAAGCAATACTCTGCCCTAATATATCGATATTGTTTGGAAATAAAATAACCTTTATTATCGTAGGATTAAAATTTACCATTATGAAGACAAAATGCATGATTTTTAGATACTAATATTGTTACTATTAATCAGACTGGCTAAGATCTCATCCATAACATACAATAGCATCTATGATGATACAAATATTATCTTTGCACATATTTCTGATTCTTAAAGTTATAAAAACTAAACGTTTCAAACTGCTGCATGATAATTGGCATAATGATCTTTTGATATTTAAGTGCTTAGCATATACATAATCAGACTGAGTTTGGAATACGTCCCTAGCAACTACTCTTTACATCGTGAAATATATCTGAAAATAGGAGCTTTTGCTTGCCCCTAGATTCCACTACCCTAACAACTTAGCTGGTATTATGTCTCAATTTCACCTACAAGAACCCAATATAAGAAGAGTTGAGTTATTTTCATTCCATTTGAAAATATCACGATGTCGAAAACTACATCCCTTCTTCACTCATCATCCGGACATATCAGGTGTACAAAACACCAGCCTCCGGCAAACTATTTGCCATGCAATACAAAACTAGCTCCAACAAACAAAACAGTGTTGAAAACTTCAGGAAATAGGAGTATTTACACATCATTAGTGGTGTATAAAATTTCAAATTACATTGTACGGATGCCATAATGAATTGTTAGTACTACCAAGTACAAGAATATGCAGCTAGCATGGACAGTAATTGCACATCGTGCTACTGTCACCAATTTCAGATCGTACAAGCCAAGTGGATGTCAGCACACACTGGAGCTCAGGTGCTGACGGTTTCAAGCTAGCGCTATAATCATCGCAAACACATCATCATCAGCTGCTAAACAACCTCCCATAATTCCTAACAGGAAGCTATTTATCTGAAATCTGAGAAACTTGCTTACAATTGCTCTTAAGCCACCATAAGAAGTGCATACTGTCATGATCATTAAAATAACTAAAACATGCACCATCCTCAAAATGTGATAATTTGAATAAAATAAGGAACCACAAAAAATCCCATATCAGATTCCACTGTCTACATGGACACTTTATAATATTTAGCATCCATGGTGTCTGTTAATTCAGTTAAACATATGACATGCTTAAATGAGTTATTATATATTAATATAAATGAAATATATAAACCATGCCTTTATTATTATTATTATTATTATTATTACATCATCATCAAATAAAGACCAAGACTAAGTTTCAAATGCTTGTCATTAACACTTCGACAATGATCGAGTCTACCATATGGAAGCCAAGCACTGAAGAGCCGTGTATATAAACATAAAATCTGAGTAGCTAAAATCTAAAACGAAACTATGAAATATTTTGACTTTTTGCAGCATTAGATCTGAAGCAGTGTCCTAGAACCAAGTAATATATTTTGACAGGCAGCTGCAGTTATCAAAGACATTTATTTAGCTAGTCAGTAGAAAGAGCCGTGTGTTCGGAATTGCGTTCCCCGGGGAGCGGCTTCACCTATGGTGTATGTCAGTCATACATGGGTTTAACTCCACTCTAAAGAACACATGTCATCAGATGAAATATCCAAATCTCCCACAAACTTACAAGAAATCCTTCTCAAATCTTCATTTCCGAATTCCATTTTAAATACTTAAAGTGCAGCTGCCCCTTTAAAACCTAGCAGTGAGGAGCAAAATGGATGTTTTTTATTTCACTTGAACACTGTCTGTCAAAGTATCTTCAGTTTATAGTAACGTTTAGTTACAAATATAATTCCATTAGCTCTTCAACTGAAGATTCGAATATATTGAATTATTATATACTTCAGTGTGAACACTTGATATTTCATTACAGTGAACATAACACTTAGAGGGAACTATTGTCATATAAGGGTTACGTCCCCGCAAATTGTCTCCCTTTATCATAAATGTCTAACCCGTACACAAACTGTTGGCTTTCTTGTTGACAAGGCAAAATAATGACAGATGGTCATTTATAGAGTTAATGTCGCTTCTTGGTGTTTGTTATCCTTTTGAAAATGTTTTGTTATAACCAATTTGTTATAACTACTTTTATTACTTGACCAATGTGTATCCTTTCGCTTCCAACAGAAGAATATCTTCTCTTTCTAGTGTAGCTGTGATGTGGGGATGGATGGGGAGGCATAGATCATGTGAAATAGGATAAGTTTTATAAATATACAATTATTGTAAAATTTACAAATTTTTAACTTTATCGCAACTCACTCTATGTATTCATCCCACAGTTAGACGGTGAGTTGCAGATTACCCTAGTCTGTATTTGTCTGAAACCATGAGATGTACACGAGGAAGCTGGTGCTGACACCCAACAATCCTGGGATTGTCACACATTCACGCCTGGAGATTTACTCGCTTTTCTATGGGTGAATCACTGCTATAGAGTGATCTTGAAAACCCCTTTACGCTACTAGGGCACAGCAATATGTCTTCGGGTGTAACTTACCCTTGTGTGTTTTCGCATAGGACATTGTACCTTGACGACCGCATGGTTTTGAATTAAGCAAGCTATTCAACCATGTCTTTTAACCAATTCGGAAGGTGTCTCCAGTCAATTAGTTCTACAAACAAAGTTGTCCATACGCTCTAATGACGCAGGTATTATTTGTTTGGCACCCCATTTTACGCTTTGCTGAAGCTCTTTTATTGATCCTCCGCAGGATCGAATAGCTAAGATAAGATGAGGAAACAATCGACAATATCCATAAGAGGATCTATAAACCATTACTGCGTCACATGCTCAAGGCAGCGGTGGGCTGATAACAGAATTGGGACACCGTTGAAATGGACGTGGCTTCGTAATATTATGTTCACATCCAATTTGGGTGGACGAAATCTGGTACGAGTGGTCGGCGAGTTTATACGAGCAGAGAAGCGCTTGGAGTTCGGGAACTACAACAATCTTGATAGATATTTGGATAATGTAGAGCCCTTTGACTTCCGAGTGGAGTGAAGGTGCTGGAGGTATTCTGCAACTTGTTGAGGGGAGGTGGTGGTCGATTGATCTACTGCTGCATTTGGTTTCGAAGGCTTTCCATTTATTATCGTACAACACTTTTGTAGAAGTACGATGAGCCTCTGTGATGGTCTTTGCTACTTATTAAAATCTTGAATATCCTTTAATGACTAAGGACTTCTCTAAATGAGCCTGGCGTAAAGATGTAGGGTGTCAAGCGATGGATGTAGTAGGCTGGAGTGAGGTTGAAGGAGATGATCCCTCCCGCAAGGGAAGTGGATAATAATTTCCTCTTGCGAGGTCTACCAACACAGTGAACCTGGTTGTGAACACGTCAACCTCTGGGTGGTGGTAGAGGTGGCAAATCCCCTCG